AGTTATGAGTAACTAAGGATGATATAGACTCTATCTAGGTTGATAGGAGGTTGATCATAGGAAAACTTGGTGGAGGACCCTAGTACTTAAAAAGTACTTAACACTCAAACTTGGTGGAGGACCCTAGTACTTAAAAAGTACTTAACACTCAAACTTGGTGGAGGACCCTAGGACTTAAAGTCCTTAACACTCAAACTTGGTGGAGGACCCTAGTACTTAAAAGTACTTAACACTCAAAACTTGGTGGAGGACCCTAGGACTTAAAAGTCCTTAACACTCAAACTTGGTGGAGGACCCTAGTACTTAAAAGTACTTAACACTCAAACTTGGTGGAGGACCCTAGGACTTATGAGTCCTTAACACTCACAAACCGGTGGAGTATCCAAGGATTATGATCCTAAAACTCATAGATTGTGATATACAAGTAGGGACAAGGAGGAGTCCTATACACTCATAGGTATATGGGTGGGTTGGGGTTTTTAGTCAAGAATATTGACTATTACTATTTTCCCGAATAAAATGGTGATCTACGGATCGGATATTTTCCAAGTATATATATACTAATAAGTATTTCATAACTTGGGGGAAAGATTATTTATTTAAGTATCACCCTATGTTTGGGTCTTATACTTGAAACGCTAGTTATTCTATATTTAGCCTGCTACTCGCTCGGTACTTGTACTGACCCCTTCGGGGGGCCCCACCATTTTCAGGTTGAAGCTAGAGCTTGCTACTTGCACCTTCTCACGGGTGATATCAAATCAGGGAGACGTGGTTCGTGCTTCCTTATTTTCTTTCAAACTACCGAACACTTGCTCATGGATATTTGTTTTACTACAAACTATTTTTGGGGCTTGCATGCCCATGTTGTCGGCCGGTTGTGGCCCATGACTTACCGTTGAATATTTCCGCTATTCATTGGTTTAATGTGATGTTGTTATGTATGTTTACTACTGAGTATGGATGGATTGTTTTCTCGAACGCCTTGTGTAATTAAGTGAGGTTGACCCGTGGGTGACGTCACTTAGTTATACGGCGGTTGTACACGCGCTTGGATTGCGGTCTGGGGCGTGACATAGTTGATCCTTTAAGTAATGTTCAAAATATTAATATGAAATATGAATAGGAATTAATTAATACTCAAGGAAGAATATTAAAGACGATGAATCCTACTATAGTTAATATCAAGATGTTAACTAATTGTCATCTTAGTAACACTCCCCGATATTAACATAGAGGAGAGAATAGCTATTACTAAGATCAATGTCAAGATGTTAACTAATTGTCATCTTAGTAACACTCCCCAACATTGATATAGAAATAGTATTTAAAGGAAGAATTAATATTCAAGGAAAAGAAGTTAAGAAAATAACTCACAACTTTAATAATCAACAAGCTTCAAGAGCAATACCAAGAAATGGAAGTTTAGCTCCTCATTTGGAGACTAAACATGCTAAAAGAAATATAAAGAAATGCTATTCTAAACTGAGCTTAAGAGTATAAAGAAATTGGTATCTAAAAGTGAAGGAAAGGAGGTGTATTTATAGGTTTTTTTGAGGTGCAGGTCGGGTACTCGATCGAGTATATACATATACTCGATCGAGTATGTGTAGAAACTCGAATTCGATCCATACTCGGTTGATATTCGAGTAGAATTCATAGCTATACCCGATCGAGTATGTCGGTGTACCCGATCGGGTATAGACACTCGATCGTGGTAAAATCTTCCCTGCATGTTCCTTTGTTTTCGGATCCGATTCGATTTGAAATTTCAACAAGATACCCGATCGAGTATAGGTAATACTCGACCGAGTATAGACCAAAATCAGGATCTTCCCTTTTTGTCTTGTGATTTTGCACCTTCCTTCCACTTTTGGGGTTCACCAACTGTCCTTTGAGTGATGGTACACCTGTTTGAGCTCAGAATAAACCTAATCTAAACAATTTACAAGAATTTAACAAACTAAACTATTACACCGAAAGTGTGTAATTTCCGAAATACTAAACAACCAAAACTAACTAAAAACGTAAATAAGCACACGGAAATTACAAACGTATCAGTGTCGCTTGAGCACCAGCACCAACAGCCGCTGGAGCACAAACAGATACGGAAGGCTCTGCTTATTGGCGAAGCTTCTTCTTTGTGGATCTGCAATTGATCCTTCTTCTGCCAGTTCTGTGCATCTGCGACCAAGACTACAATATTTTTTTTCCCACTTCTTTCTGTGAAAATAATGGGAAAGAGGTACTCCAATAGGAGTCCTGACAGATATATTTATAATAGAGGAGTTGCCAAAATACAAAGTATTCCTAAATATATATTAGGCAGATTCCTAAATATATATTAGGCAGATTCCTAAATATATTAGTCTATTACACTCCCTCAAACTGTGCGGGAGATACAACGCGCAGGTTGTCTTTTAAAAAATGAAATTGCAAACTAAAAAAAACTCTTAGTAAATAAATCCGTGAGCGGAAGATTAGAAGACACATCTTTGATATTATGATCTCCATGAGAATATATGTCTGCAGCAGCAAGCGGCGAACTCAACAGCGCGCTTGAAGCAAGCACCGTGGTCAGCGACGCAGAGAAGGTGGGCTGCGCGGACATAGGCAGCAGCAGGCGGCGAACTCAACGGCACGCTGGAAGCAAGCACCATGTTCAGCGACGCGGAGGAGGTGATCTGCGCCATATTTGCCGCGCTCATCTTCAAAGGATCGGAGACTACCGTAAATGTGGCGATAGTCGACCCCGAGGCGGCGGCGGCTATAATAAGGTTCATGGGAACCGATAAAAAGAAAAAAATTGTATCTACAAACCTAGAGCTCTTGATACCATGTGTAAATGTTGATTGTTGCAGTTAAAAGGGAACAGAGGAAGTATTAGGCAGATTCCTAAATATATTAGTCTATTACTTTCATGCATCACCGTTGTTTTAGTTTTTTTTTTCTTTTACTTATTTTGTTATTCAAGTAGACTGTTCAATTGGAGATCAGAGTTCTGGATATGAGATATGGACTAAGCACATAAAAATATAAAATTATGGAGATTCCTGGAGTAACAGAGTACAAATTTGCTTGATGTATCTGCTATTTACTTTTACTTCTTTTTATTTTGTTTTGTAATTTTCATTTTCTTCTCTAAAACGTAATTTGAAGTTTTTTGTTTATGATCTACTCATATGTTGATTAGATCTCGTGGGCTGTTTTATTGGTTAAAAAATTATTACTTTTTTTTTTTCAGTTTTTTTTTGTTTAATTTTACTTGTTAGGGAGTTACATTGTAGTATATTGTCATATTGATATATTATATTTTACAATGTAGTTTTTCCTATAAAAGAAATACCTATTTATAGTATTGACATTATTTTTAACAATGTCATTTTTATGCGGATTGGCATTGTTATTGACATTATAATGCCATTATTATAACATTTTCGTGATAATGTCACATTTTTTGAAACTGAAAGTGTCATACAATGTCAAATAATGACAATCACAATTTCAACATTAACATTTGTAAAAAATGGCCAACGTATTAGTTCTATACTATTGGAAGATAGAAATAATAAAATATGAGTGATTTTTATTTCTTTCTAAAACTGTGACCAACACTTGTTTAATTAATACATGTAATTTCTCTACTTCCATTTCCTACACAATTGCCCACCCCTGCCTCACTGCTGCCTCTGGGAACTACTCATGAAGGGCAACCAATTCAATTCTTTCTGTGTTTTTCGTTCTTTTAAATATCTTCGGAAAAAGGCTACAAATTTTTTCCCCAATTGTCACAGTCACACATTTCCCGACAATGACACATGTAATGACGACAATATGATGACAATAGTACTAGCAATCACATTTTTCCACAAATAAAAATAATTACTCATCCCGTCCCATAAAATTGTTCTTGATTTGGCTGCGACCGGCTCGAGATGAGGTGAACTTGGGACCAGTCGAAAGATCGGTCTTCCGGTCCTAGGGGTAGATCAAAACCGCTACCCCGATTTGTATTACTCGGTCTCAGCTCGGGTGCTCAAAACTGGGATTGGAACCAACTGAACCCTAATGGCTCTCTCTCTCTCTCTCTCTCTCTCTCTCTCTCTCTCTCTCTCTCTCTCTCTCTCTCTCTCTCTCTCTCTCTCTCTCTCTCTCCCCCTCCCTCCCTCCCCCCATTTTTCCTGTTGCCGGGCCACCCAAAAACGACTTTTTTGAGTTCTGACCATCGGGGGTGCGGTGGGTGGGATGGGCGGGGCTGGAGGTTGGGTGGGAAAAACTATAAACACCTATAATTCTTCTCATTTTTTCACATACCTCAACTATGTTAATACCCCCCTACAAATCCTACAATCTACACTACAACTCTCTTATCTAATACTTAGTAATATTATTCAATATTCATAGTAGTTAATATTCACATTATATTGTTAGTTCATATTCATAGTATCCTATACAAAGTACTTTTTTTTCACTCCAGGGGGCGTCTGGGGGAGGGAGGCTGGAGGCCTAGAGTAATCAGGGCTGAAACTCACAACATTGAGTTTCGAACCCGAAACCTCCTGTAAGAGAGAGTGAGTCGGCGATCAACTGGGCTGGACTGCTTTCTTGTACAGAGTAAATTTATTCACATAAATATTTGTATATGTCATTTAAATTGGGATCTCACATCAATAAGTCATCTATAATAAAGTAGGGATCGCACTTCAACAAGTGTATATGTCATTTAAGGATGTTTTGTTTTGGACTGTTTTCAGTCCCAAACCTGACACCGATTGATTTTTTGATGTGTACGTGACAATTGACAAATAAATGAATAATCTACCAAAGAGATTTCATTTTGTGAATCAGCTGGTCCCACTACCGACGTGCCAGATTTCGCCCTATCTCCGTAGAAATTTCCTAAATAAATGGCGGGATAATAGCCCTACTTTCAACTTCCCGCCTATTCCCAAATTAATTACTCCGTACTTAATTAATTAATACTCTCATAACGAAAAATCAAACAAAAACAAATGCCTTTTGATGACAGTCTTTCCCTCCTTTCCTTTTCGTCGCTCTGAAAATCCCCAAATTATTTCCTACTCAATCTTTCCCTCCATATTTTTTCACTTCCCCAAGACCTGAAATTCCTTATCCCTCACCTCCAATTTCACCACTAATCCAAAATTTTAAGTGTTTTTCTACATTCCGATGGGAGCCAGTTCTTCAGAAACCCTAGAACCTCAGTCTCTTGAACTAGATTGTCCCGGTTCGCCAAATGCCCGAACCGGATCTCCGGACACATCGTCAGGTCAGGTCCTTGCAACCTCCGGGAGCTCATCGGATTCGGATGTTTTATTTGACCGGGAAAACGAGACGGAAAAAGAACATCCTCAAGATGACAGGGATATAGTCGTGGTATATAACTACTCCTTGTAATACTTGTTATTCAAAGATATATTTTCCTGTTCACTTGAGTTTGCTATATTACCATTTCTGTATCTATTAATCTGTTAGGTAAAGTACGATTTTGCATTTATTTACTGGTTGTTCTTGAACGCTTATAGGGCGGAGGATTTTTCAATTTAGGCAATACCTGCTTTCTAAATGCGGTCCTGCAATGCTTCATGCACACAGTCCCTGTCGTTGAAGGCCTACTAGCTTTCAATCATCCATATCCTTGTGATGGTAGGACCTTTTCAGCTCAACTCAGATAGTTCGTTTGGATATGGATACTAATAACAATAAGAATAATAAATTAATAATAATAATGATTTTTATAGTTTCTTATGGGGGTAAATTTCTGGACTCTACCTGATCAATTAGCTTTGCCATGATTTTCTTGTTTTAATTTTTATGTGAATTGTGGCAAATGGCAGGCTATATGGAAGGATTCTGCATGATTTGTGCTCTAAAAGAGCTAATTGAAAACTTATTGTCTTCCAATTACAGTGCTGTCTCTCCTTGGAAACTTGTCAACAACATAAACTGTATCCTCTTGAACTTTTCTTGCATCACGTTGGCTGAAATATCTATTAATTTCTACTAGTTTAATGCCTTTTCAATTCTGTCTATGTTGCTTAGTATCAAGTTTAGTTTCCCCCCTTTTCAAAACCTGAGTCAACGTGAATATTAGATTAATTTTACCTGGCGCCTGTAAATGTAAGAAGTCTAAGAACTATATATTTCATCTGTCAACTGTTTCTCTTCACATGTGTTTCAATATGCAGAGCTTTATGAAATTTTTGCTCTTCACCATCCTGTTAGACAATTCTGCATCTTTTCAGTTTGAATCTGGATCGCTTGATAATATTTCAGATATGCTAGTTCCTTACTCTCTTAGGGCATTTTTTATAACATGTAAACACCGGTGGAACTATCCAATTAGATTCCTGACTTAAACTTTCCGTGAAAGTTCTTTTGATCAGCGCTGAAAAACAAAGGACATTCATGTTTGAGTCATCACAAGTGGAATTAAAAAAGAGAAAGGGTCTAGTCATCTGATCAATCTTATATTACTTTTTAAAGAACCTTATTCTATTAGATGAATGGACAACCATATTTAGTAGGATGGTAATATTAATTGAAAACCTTAAACCACTAATCAATATTGACCAAATTAAATCTGCAAAACTGACATGGTAAAAAAGTTCAGTTTCATGTTGTGTATTTACACGTGATCTGGAAATTCTGCCTTGACTTCACTGACAATGTTAAGTATTATTATTATTATTCTGTTGTTATCCTTAAACATGAAAAATTCCAGACTTTTCATCTAGCTTCCAGCGGTACCAACAAGAAGATGCTCATGAATTCCTCCAGTGTTTTCTGGACCGACTTGAAAGCTGCTGTGCTGATGCAAAGCAGAATGAATTGATGCCCCAGAATGTCAACCTCGTAAAGCAAATCTTTGGAGGTCGCCTCATTAGCAAAGTAACATCTCAAGATCCACTTTGATCAGCATACTTATTTCTATTTGCGTAGATTACTTATCACTTATTAACAATTTTCAATTATTTCCAGGTACGGTGCTGCAATTGTGATCACTGCTCTGACACTTATGAGCCTCTGATTGATTTGAGTCTGGAGATTGAACATGTGGACAGCATTCCTGCTGCTTTGGAGTCTTTTACAAAGGTTGAACATATTGAAGATCCAGAAATAAAGTTCACGTGTGCAAATTGTAAAGAACAAGTGATGATTGAAAAGCAGCTTTTACTGGATGAGTCCCCTTCAGTAGCTGCTTTTCACTTGAAGAGGTTCAAAAACGATGGTTCTGTTGTTGAAAAGATTGACAAACATGTAGCCTTCCCGCTTGAATTGGATATGCTTCCATATGCTGCTCCAAAGAATGAAGGAAGTGAAGTGAGTTATTATTATTTATTATTTATAACACATAAATATATGTGCTGCTCATGAAATGGTTTCCATTTATTGAGGCATTAGATCTCTAAGATGTTTTAACTCTTGGCATCACATTACCCCCCCCCCCCCCCCACCAAATAATAAAATTGATTGCTGATTTTTGCTAATACTTTCTTAAAAACTTCAACCTTGTGTAGATCTCTTATCTTTTTTTAATGGTTTATATGCAGGGAGATTCGAAATATTATCTGTATGCAATATTAGTTCATATTGGATACTCGTCTTGTTCTGGGCACTATTACTGTTTCATACGTGCTGCCCCAGATGCATGGTACAAGTTTGATGACTCAAAGGTATATACCATTCTCGAAGTCCCTTTTAGTGGTGCCAAGAGATTTTTTCGCACTGCTAATTTATCTCTTGATATGATTTTTGAAGCCCTTAAGTTCATTCATTTGCAGGTTACCCGAGTAGATGAAGATTTTGTCATGTCTCAGGAGGCATACATTCTTTTCTATGCAAAACATGGCACTTCATGGTTTTCAGATTTCACTAAAACACCAAAGTTCACTATACCCAAACCCATATCTAACACTTCTCCCAAGTCAGTTTTAGATAATGTAGATCCCATTTCCACCATACATCCAATCACCTGTGCTGTTGAAGTTCCATCTCCAACCACATTCAGCAGAGCGAACCATGAAAGAGTAATGGTAAGCGAGGTAAATGCAGGTCCACACATGATGCCAACTCCTGTATTTCGTGTTGCAACTAAGTCTTCAGAAGTTGGGGAAATGCCTTCTCTATCATCTCCTCTGGAAGAAAGCAGCAACAGACAGAATTTTGACATTACTAAGCTGCATTTGAATGAGATTCCCAAAACACCACCAAGATCTCCAAGCCCAGAAATTTACAGAGAGGACTCCCCTGGTAAATTTATGTTCTTAATTTAATCTTATATTTTTTTTACCTTTGATCCCACAATTATTTGGCCATCCTCAATTTTGATCCCTGCTGCATCAATATTGCTACGTTGTTATTTTTTGTCATTTCTGTTCACTTAACTAGAGAAAATAAACTAAAAATAGTACAAAAATTTGGGCTTGATAAGTAGCCAGATGGATCAAAGTGATAAGAGAAGTGGAAAGTAACAAAAGAGGGGGACCACAAACTGGAATGATTCAATCAAATCCATGGGACCAAAATTTTCTTGACGATAAGAGCCATTTGGTAACATGAAAATTTGCCTGAATGTGCTGAATCTGTGGCTTAATTGATTCATTTGTTGAATTTTGAAATGATGATATTTAAAACCAACTATGTATTTTATTTATTAATAAAACAAAGGGAAAGTCATGGTGAAAAAAAGTTAGAATTTTTATCTTCAGAAAATTCAGCCCATCAAGAACCTTATGCCCCTTACTATACAATTTAATGCGCGAAATAAAAAAATTATTGTTTGGTAAGAAATCTTGCTTATATGTCAAAAATCTGGGTTACCAAATGGAACTATATAATGGAGATTTAATTATATAATTGAAAAGGAGGAGCATAAAAAGTAATACATGACTATTGGTTTTTGCATTGCAGATGATGTATATTCAATTCCACGCAAACATCTGGCGTTGGTGGATCCAGTTTCTTGTCAAAAAAGAGAATTGCAGAAGAGCCTAGAGACGGATAAGAAGAGAAAGCAGGCAGCTTTTCTAGTTAGGAAGAACATGCCTAGCGCAAGAGGCAATCAATTAATGGCTGCTTTGAGAGGAACACAGAGCGAGAGTGCCGTTGACAAGAAGAAGAGAAGAATGATGGCTTCTTCACCGATCAAAGGTAGCAGCAGCAATTCCAATACTTTCCACAAATCAAGTTTTCCTCCCGGATCACGTCCTATAATTGCCAGCGGCCCCAGATGAGTAGTAGTTTGTAATAGGTTGAAGCTGCTAGATTTTGAACCAATTCATGTTTACGCTATATTAATCAAGAAACTTGATTTCAGTCTTCCAATTACTAATACTATTGGTATTAATATTGGTATGATTATTTCTTGTATTCTGCTTCGTGCTTTCCACAGATATGCGTTAAGCATAATAGTACATTTAAATCTTTAATTGGATTGCATAAATATATTAATACACATTTAAATTTAGAATAATTGCATCCTACTCCCTAACTGGATAGATAATTCCCTTGGCCAACAGGTACTAAGCCAGAATCAGCCTACGAGAATGTCCTATTCCAGAAATCTTTGAGTTTGCAAATGTTTGTGATACACATGATTAACATATCATACCAAGTGTTGTCACATAAAAAGTTTTTCTGTTTAATAGCTCCGGAAACACTTCACTTCACTAGCAGCATTGCAACACCACAACTACAGAGCCCGACCACCTGTGGCCTACGTTAGAGCCAAACTCTTCAGGTCTAGGGCCAACACCAATTTAACTCAGTTCCACAAACAATTTAACTCATTAAAATAACTTTTGATATGTGCAACAGCACATGTGAAAATCAAGTTTGTTATTGTTATTCAAAGTCAACACAAAATTCGAATTTGATACTCAAAAGTCAATATATGAGAATTGAAAAATATTCTCCTAACCTAATCAGAATTATTTGATTAGTGTGAAGAGTATAACATTCAAACACATTAGATATCTATAGGCTAGAAAACATTTCTTTTCTCGAAACAGGAAAAAATTCTGAGTAAAAAATGGTTGCATATAATTGCATGTGATTTTACATTAACAATGGAAATGTAGGGATGAAGGGATATAAAAAACATACATGGAATCACTATTGTCTTCAAATTCAGACTAAAGGATCAAATTTAGTGGATTTTGAGTGAGAAGTTTAGAATAGACAATTCGAAAATGACATTCCTAGTAGATGAAATGTAAGAACCGTAGAGTTGACTAGTCTTGAATACAAGGAATAGAGTGAGATATCCAATAGTCTTAAAACTTATAGAATTCAACATATACATTTGACAATAAAGTGAATGTTAAATCTTATTCAATTTCCTTCTTCTGCCCCAATTGCCTTAATTACCAAGGCCACCCCTGGACCAACCTGCCATCGACGTTTGGGAAATTTTGGTGATCGGACCAATCTTATACACAAGAAAATCTCAAGGTAACGCTTATCTGGTTGAGCGGACCTTTTGACGTAAATGGTTGTGAATAATTTTAATCATAGTTATGGTTATAGTTATCATAGTTTTTAAGCTAAAAACGTCAAACTATATTAAAAGATCATTGACGATCTGGCTTACAATAAAGTTAAGAGGAATAGAAAAACCAACCTTGTTAAGAGACAGAAACAAATTCGAACAATCGCTCTAGCAATTATGTGAGCCACTTGGTTCGTTGGTCGCCTAAACCAGTAAAATTTAACATTATGAATTTCATTAATTAAATATTTGATATCCTCAAACATGAATCCCACATGTGCATTTCAAGTTGGAGCCGTTTTAATAAAAATAACAGTAATAACACAAAAAATAGTAGTAGTAATAATAATAATAATAATAATAATAATAATAATAATAATAATAATAATAATAATAATAATAATAGTAATAATAGTAATAATATAACAACAACAACAACAACAATAATTTAATAATAATAACAATAAACAGTTATTTAGATAAGAAAAATTCATATCTGCTTAGAAGAACATAAACATTTCTAAATGATGATCACTTGCACTATTGGAGAAGCAGCCTGCCCTCTCAATTGTTGATGGATTACTTGTGATGTGCTCTTATCAAATGTAATGAACGTTGCATTTGGGCACCAAGAATGCTCTTTGTAACCTTTGTTCTTATCGAATTTTATAGCATACCAATCATAATCTCTTCTTAACACCATCCTCTCAAGAGCCAAAGCACTTTTCGGATATACTACGTACAAAACTAAAGAAACATCATGCTCCAAATCATGGAACCCACCCAATTCTACTTCTTTTAGATGAGGATGAAGATGATTTCTGGGATATAGACTCTTTGCACCAAATTGTATGGGTGGTGTTCTCCTCCTTTGCTGTACACATAGAAACTTATCATCATTACCCACAATGAAATAGCTAGACAATCAACATCGTATCTTGAGTATGCTCCGAATCTGTTTGTTTGCAGGAAAACTAATCATTTTTCCTGGTAAATGAGATGTTCTACTGCTTGTATGTACATATAAGAGCATCTCCAATGCTAAAACGTTAACGGTGCATACGTGGCATGAGAAATAACCAATTAAAAAACAATAAATACAATATCTCTCTTCTTCTTTCCACGGTCTTATGTGTTTATGGTAAGTTTTTGTTGTCAATCACAATGTCTACATCTAGACATTGTGCTTGACATTGCAGAGAAAAACTTACCAAAATGGTGTAAGATCCTTCAAATAAGGAGAGAGATATTGTATTTATTGTTTTTTAATTGGTTATTTTCCATGCCACGCCTGCACCGTTAACGTTTTACCATTGGAGATGCTCTAAGTATCATGTTTAACCCACAAAAAAGAAAGGAAACGCGAAGTAACTAAAAAAATGTTTCGAAAAAATAACTCTTCCTTTTGAAAAGATGGAAGTCATTTTCCAAGTTTTTCTCATGTGCCCACACAAGAAAATCCAGAAAGCGTGCTCCTATTTTCCTGGAAACAAGCACTGGATGCTCAAGTTTTGGACACCATGGAAATATGCACTCAACCTATACACTGATTGGACACAACCCAACTTAGTAAGCAAACAAATGCACCCTTCTGCATTTGTTATACTTGACAGAGAGACTTCTTTCAAAATGGATCCAGCAAATTTTCCCAAGGACAGCGCACAAAGCTTGAATGGACACACCATTGGTCATGCCAAAATACCATTGTGAGTGTATGACTTCCCCTTTTGTGTCTCTTTCCTTTATTTATCATTCATAAAAGTTCCTTTATTTATCATTCTCTACCCTTGAACCACCCCAACTCTATCCCCTCTAGGAAGAGTTATGCATCTCTACTTTGCGGGTAGAGAGCCTCTCAGCTTTACAACAAAGCTCCGCACAACACACTTATCCCCAACCCGAGGAAGCTATGCTTAGCTAGTCCTCAATAACCCAAGTACAATGTAGAAGGAAATATAAAACTCTATCTAGAACTCCGTGGGCAGGTTCAGATGGCTTGGACTTTGAATATTCTCGTGTATCACTCTTATCTTTCTCTCGTCAAGCACACCCTTTTTTTGCTTGCTCGAATATATAGGCCTCTTGAGATGAGTCCTTTGGATCCTTCCTTGTATAAATGATTCTTGCCTTGTTGTATTTTGAAAAAGCTTTCCATCTTGAGAGCTAGATCCTTATCCGTGCATAGAGATTGGTTTGCACAAAAATAATTGCTACCAAGATATTTTATACACTTATCATAAATAGACATGCAAACGGATCATTCAGAGAAGTCAACATCTCAAAAAGTATTCATTTAAATAAGCAGATTTTTTGAATCAATTTTAAAAGGCTACGGTCCACTAATAGCAAGACAACTTTCCAAGCTTCTTGAAAATATTTCCATACAAGGCAGGCTACGGTTATCATAAAAGTAAGAATTCATTTTCATAAAGAATAACTTATAAAAAATCATTTTATGCATGCAAGACAACCCACATATACGTTAAGCACATAGATGCAAGAATCCTAGAACAGTTCTGTCCACGGTTCTGATAGAACCCGTATCAGAGATAGAGTAGTTTCATCTCTTGTTTCCGTATGGTTAGTCATCAACAAAACTAAATGTTCAACATCCTCCACCCCCATAACACCTGTCAATGGTTAATGACTTCAACTCCAGTTGTTTTACTCCACCAATTAACACCTTGGAAGGAAGACGACAATACCAATTTTCTCATCTAAACAGTGACCCATCATCATCATCATCATCATCATCACATTACACTACATACTTCGTATTATAACAAAAGCACATATAAAATGTACATGAACTCATCCACTTTGATTATAACAAAAGCAGAAAATACAAATGGACGTGGGGAGAAGAAGAGGCGTGGTGGGAAGGTTTGTTTGGGAGAGCAGGATTAGACAAAATATACAATCAAGGATTACAACTAATTTCTTGAAACTAATTTCTTGAAACCCTGTATAGCTTTTTACGTAAGCTCCATTGTGGTGTTGAAGTCTTTGAGAAAATTGACGCAGTATTCTATCATACCATACCTTTTTAGCACCAAACAGACCATAAAGCCTCCTGTAGACCACAGAAGCCAATAAGAGGAAGCTGGTAGGTTTGAGGAAGCTGGCGGGTTTGACGAAGCTAGCGGGTCTAAGGAAGCTGGTGGAGGAGAAGACAAGGTGGTAGCTATTTCATACAGGCGCCCCACATTCTGCAGAGGTACTAGATAGAGAAATCCTCATGGGTTAGGACCCTTAACTTCTTCATCTCCCAAACATCGGTCAATTCGCCATATGTGAGACTTTCGCCCACTCCCACTGCGCGTGTTCGTTGTCGATTGAAAATGGCTGGCGGCCTGCTTGTAGCAGGCGGCCACAAACACAAGGCTTTCATCGTTCACCTTTTCCTTCAGAGCTTTGAAGCTCACCTCGAGAGTGTTCATCTTGAATTCTTGAATTCAAGAAAGTGAATTGTGAAACGGGGAAGAAGACACTTTGATTGAAATTGTGAGGTTTCAAATTGTGAAATGGCGCACCCCTATAATTAACCCTAGCATGACTAGTTTGTCCTTGTTATTTACGGAGTAATTTAATTAAAATAAAATGTTCGGCAACTTTTAAATTTAATAGACTCTATCCATTTTTGTCAATTTTAAATTTAATGCCCAATTTAATGTTCGACAAACAATTACTGAGTGGTTTTTTATAAACGGTTACTCTGCTGTTGATGGAATGAATGGAATAAGGGCTGCTTTCAAACCTGAAAGAGGTCAGGAGCAACTATTGAATTTGTAGATGGCATATTTTTTCCATTTGTTCTACGAATTTTATAAAAAATGTAGTGATTTACCAATGATTACACGCAGTACAAATATAATTTGAAAACACATTAGATTTCATTCT